TTGGTATGCACCATTTTTTTAGTTTGCTTGAGAAAGTGGTATCACAATACATTTATTGAGTTAGGAATTTAGATTCTCTGTTGGATTTCTCTGTGCTGTTCTTCTGTTGTGTCTTTAGTATACAAACATCTGTGGACAGCACCAAAAAAATCTAACAAAAAATCTTGAATTAGATGGCTCATGTAAAGAAATGATAGCATGAGATTGTGTTTCCGTTGAACAGGTCCAAAGGGGTTTTCTCTGTCATCGTATAACGGAGGAGCAAGCACTGTTGAGCCATTTCTTGTTGATGAAAAGAAGGTCACAGCAAAACACATTATCTTTTGGGTGGAAAAACGTTTGGCAGCACAGGGGATTCTTCCTATATGGAAAGATTAATCTCTAAAAGATGAAATTATAGTTTGGTTGCTAATGATGTGTAGCATACAATTCAATATTCTCTTGTTCCTTTCATTAATGACTGGTATACAAAATGATAATGTTCATCAATGCGTCACTGCACACATGTTCATGATAAGAATGACTTTAATTTGATTAATTCTCTACTAATGTGTTAAAATTGTGCATAATGGTTTTTATTTTTATTTTTTTAAGTGAAGTGATACACAAATTGTCTTACTTTTAATTGAAATATTGAATCTAATGCATGATTCATTATACAAATAAAACAACTCTTGACTTTATTTAAAAATATTAGAAATCATTTTTGATATGTATGTCTTTAATATATTAATAGAAAATTAAAGTTGTTTTCAAGGTATATGGCTTCTGGAAGAAGAAAAAGAATCAAAGTCAATTTTATCAAGCACAATGTAATTTTCAATTTTATAATTGAAGTCAATTTTAGTAAACGAGTTTTCTTCAATACAAAACTATACTAACAGAACATGAGAGCATAAGGTTTTTGTTACTTTTTGTTTCTGATTATGTTATTTATTCATGTAAATGTCAATTCCTAGATTTTATGATGAGAGAATTAATTATTAAATTTTATATTCTCATTTGATATTAATTACTAATTCGTTTTTAAATTTAAAACTAGCGAACCAAACCAAATAATTAATTTAATTTAGTTTGGATGATAATAGTTATAATTCACTTAAATTCGTTTTAGTTTACATAAAGTAATTAAAATTTCTTGTTGTAAAACTTTTTTTTTATTTCTTTAAAATTGAAAATCCCTACTTTTGATTTTAAAAAGTGTTGAGAAGTTAATTCCCTCATACATAAAATTGAATGTCCTAAATATCGCATGTAAATTTTCAAACTACTGTAATTTCTTAATATTAAGCAAAATTGCGGCTGATACAGTTGCAATCTCGTTACAGAATAAACTAAAGCAAAAAGCATAATATTTAGTAACATAGTAGAGTAAACTTTGCTTTATTATATTAATTTTTCCTAAATTGGGTAAAAAAAAAGTAAGAGACAAAATCCCAGAATTGCTGTATAAATTTTTGAATAAAAGAAAAATCTCAGAAAATTAGGAAAAAGGGAAAAACCCCATAGAGCCTAGTAGAATCATTTTTATCATAAATATTTGGTATAACAAAATGAACCATATTGACTCATTTTTATCATAAATAAGAATTACATTGAAAACAACAAAAGTACTAGACCACATTAGCTGATTCTACCAAATATTAAAACAAAAAAACTTATTAATTTTTTTTCCATGGTTCCAAAGACTTAGACTAACATGAGCTAATCAAATGATAATAAGTAAGACTTTAAAAAAATAGTGGGATATATGCATAAGTATAGTTTGTAAACGTTTTAAAAAATATTGTAATATAAATCGAAATTATTTATATTTGATGATAATAAAAAAAAACAGTTTATTCATTAAATATGTATTTTTAAAAAAGTTTCTTCAATATAGCGAATCTGAAGCTATGTGAGAGATCACCACCTCCTTCAAAACATCCTTACACCAAACTGTTGGGAATCTAAGTGTGAGTCTAAGTCCCACATTGGAAGAAAATGAGAAAGTAGAGTGGTTTATAAGTGGGAAGACCCATTAACTCATTGCTTTAAGGTTTTAGGTAAAGAGTGGTGTCAACTACTTATAAGTGGGAACCAAAATAATCGATTTTCCCGCTTTGTTTTCAACTTAGATCAAAATTATTATTTTTTTCTATCGATAAATATTAGTCATTAATATTTTCTTAACACATTTATAAATTTTTCTACTAATTTTTTTTTCATTTTCTTCAAATCACAAATTATAATTAATATCAAAAAGTTCTTAAAGGATATTTTCAATGAGAATTTTAATTGTGATAAAATTGAGAATTTTGAAGTTCTTTTAATAAGATGGATTTTGGAATTTTTTTTTCTCGAAATCATATTTCTTAACTTAAATAAGTCACCTCTCCTAATATAAATTGAAAGAACATTATTCTTTCACACGAAAAACTACCATTTAACAATCTATTATAAAAACAAAATGATTTTACTAAAAATAAACTTTTTGACATTTATAAAAAAAATCGAGTGAAAAATAATAAAAGACAATATCAAATAACAGTAAAAGCTTTTTACAATAAAAGACAATCCTTAATATTATACGAAACAAAGTAAGAGATTACAGTTTAAAATTTAAGTTTTAGAGATATAAAGAATAACACTATTACTGCAATAACAATTCTGTGTCAAACAGTGTTCAAAACCTTAATTGCATATAATGAGATCAAAAACAAAAACTATGTACATTCCTAAAAAGGAAAGATGTTACATGAAAACCAGAAATCGAAGTTTGCTTCAGCTTATAGCGATATCTATCAAGTCTTCCATAGAAAGTCCAGCTGTCAACATAATATATTTTAAAAGTTTTCATTAGCGTATTCTGAAATGATAACAGTAAGATAGTATGAAAACTCAACAGAGAACAGAAATTCCACTTACGAAGTTGAAAACTTTGGATTAAAGAAGAAGGATGAGTTAAAGAAGATTCAGGTTTGGAGAAACTGAGTTCCTGATTCTTCCAAACACAATACTTATAAACAGCAAATGCAGACGCAAAGTTTCCAAAGGATATCCATAACATTCCAGTTTTCGACATTCTTGCTTCTGCTTCTAAATTTAGAGTCACAAAAAGAGTATTCTGTGCAGAGAAATTAAACCTAAGCATGTTCTACCTCTCCCAAAGCTTCCTTTTATATTAAGATAATTTTTAGAGATATTAAGATATACAGATAACACATATTAAGATATACAGATAACAGATATAAATATGTTTTTCCTTTAAAAATATGGTTATTTCGTTATTTAGTTGAGTATATAAAATAAAAAGATATTTTCTTGATNTGTTCTTCCTGTGTTGCAGATTGCAAGTAAATATAAAACATCCAGCAGAAACAGAATCACCTGCTCTGCTGTTCAAGAGTCGTCTCCTAGCACAACAGCAGGTGAATTTCTGCATTAACATAATGAAAAGTTTTAAAACTCTTTGGTTTGATTGTTTTATTTGCTAAAATTTTTCATTGGGGGTGACTGTGATTAGTCTAATTGAAACTGTTACTGAAATTTCTGGTCTTAGCTACTGCTGAAACAAAAGAGGAGGTAAAGGAAGCTCCAAAAGCTGCACCGGCAAAAAAACCTCCAGCTAAAGCACCTGTTAAGCCTCTACCTCAGATGATGGAGGAGGATGTGATCCCTTCCCTGAAAGATATATTTGAAGCCCAAGAAGATTTATCAAACATTGAGCTAGTCTTTAAGGATAATAGGGTTAGTAATGCAGATATACAATGAGAAACTATTATGCAGTTCATGTCATTAATATATAGACTATTGATTTTTTGACACACCTAAATTTTGTACATTCATTTGATATTATCTTTTCTTACTTTTTACTTTTTTTTTTTTTGAAAAAATACAAAAAGCTTAAACTTTTATGATCGTTTTACCTTGTGTTATGTGTCAAATGAATGTAAAAGTGTGTCATGGTACCATTACTCTAAAATCTGTATCACATAAGTAATTAATTGAGTGTTATTAACTCTTTTTTCACTAATAGAAAATCTTGAATACATGTGAAATATATAACATTAGAAGAACTCAATTAATTAAGTGTGTCTTCATAAGCTTGCTCTTTCTGACATGAACATCCTTTGAAAGTGTTTTTCTGTTAAAACTTCAAATATTTGATGAAGTACTATATTAAAAGTAAAAATGTTTCAGAAGAATATAAGAAAGTGATTACTGTATAGAATTATTATTCATCTCACAAAGCTTTTACATTATTGAACAATTCATTGGGTTGTGATTGACAGTTAGAAGGTTCTCTTTTGAAGAAAGGCAACCCCTACTCATTTTGGGCCTTCTTTCCCACAGGACTCATTGGTATGCACCATTTTTTTAGTTTGCTTGAGAAAGTGGTATCACAATACATTTATTGAGTTAGGAATTTAGATTCTCTGTTGGATTTCTCTGTGCTGTTCTTCTGTTGTGTCTTTAGTATACAAACATCTGTGGACAGCACCAAAAAAATCTAACAAAAAATCTTGAATTAGATGGCTCATGTAAAGAAATGATAGCATGAGATTGTGTTTCCGTTGAACAGGTCCAAAGGGGTTTTCTCTGTCATCGTATAACGGAGGAGCAAGCACTGTTGAGCCATTTCTTGTTGATGAAAAGAAGGTCACAGCAAAACACATAATCTTTTGGGTGGAAAAACGTTTGGCAGCACAGGGGATTCTTCCTATATGGAAAGATTAATCTCTAAAAGATGAAATTATAGTTTGGTTGCTAATGATGTGTAGCATACAATTCAATATTCTCTTGTTCCTTTCATTAATGACTGGTATACAAAATGATAATGTTCATCAATGCGTCACTGCACACATGTTCATGATAAGAATGACTTTAATTTGATTAATTCTCTACTAATGTGTTAAAATTGTGCATAATGGTTTTTATTTTTATTTTTTTAAGTGAAGTGATACACAAATTGTCTTACTTTTAATTGAAATATTGAATCTAATGCATGATTCATTATACAAATAAAACAACTCTTGACTTTATTTAAAAATATTAGAAATCATTTTTGATATGTATGTCTTTAATATATTAATAGAAAATTAAAGTTGTTTTCAAGGTATATGGCTTCTGGAAGAAGAAAAAGAATCAAAGTCAATTTTATCAAGCACAATGTAATTTTCAATTTTATAATTGAAGTCAATTTTAGTAAACGAGTTTTCTTCAATACAAAACTATACTAACAGAACATGAGAGCATAAGGTTTTTGTTACTTTTTGTTTCTGATTATGTTATTTATTCATGTAAATGTCAATTCCTAGATTTTATGATGAGAGAATTAATTATTAAATTTTATATTCTCATTTGATATTAATTACTAATTCGTTTTTAAATTTAAAACTAGCGAACCAAACCAAATAATTAATTTAATTTAGTTTGGATGATAATAGTTATAATTCACTTAAATTCGTTTTAGTTTACATAAAGTAATTAAAATTTCTTGTTGTAAAACTTTTTTTTTATTTCTTTAAAATTGAAAATCCCTACTTTTGATTTTAAAAAGTGTTGAGAAGTTAATTCCCTCATACATAAAATTGAATGTCCTAAATATCGCATGTAAATTTTCAAACTACTGTAATTTCTTAATATTAAGCAAAATTGCGGCTGATACAGTTGCAATCTCGTTACAGAATAAACTAAAGCAAAAAGCATAATATTTAGTAACATAGTAGAGTAAACTTTGCTTTATTATATTAATTTTTCCTAAATTGGGTAAAAAAAAAGTAAGAGACAAAATCCCAGAATTGCTGTATAAATTTTTGAATAAAAGAAAAATCTCAGAAAATTAGGAAAAAGGGAAAAACCCCATAGAGCCTAGTAGAATCATTTTTATCATAAATATTTGGTATAACAAAATGAACCATATTGACTCATTTTTATCATAAATAAGAATTACATTGAAAACAACAAAAGTACTAGACCACATTAGCTGATTCTACCAAATATTAAAACAAAAAAACTTATTAATTTTTTTTCCATGGTTCCAAAGACTTAGACTAACATGAGCTAATCAAATGATAATAAGTAAGACTTTAAAAAAATAGTGGGATATATGCATAAGTATAGTTTGTAAACGTTTTAAAAAATATTGTAATATAAATCGAAATTATTTATATTTGATGATAATAAAAAAAAACAGTTTATTCATTAAATATGTATTTTTAAAAAAGTTTCTTCAATATAGCGAATCTGAAGCTATGTGAGAGATCACCACCTCCTTCAAAACATCCTTACACCAAACTGTTGGGAATCTAAGTGTGAGTCTAAGTCCCACATTGGAAGAAAATGAGAAAGTAGAGTGGTTTATAAGTGGGAAGACCCATTAACTCATTGCTTTAAGGTTTTAGGTAAAGAGTGGTGTCAACTACTTATAAGTGGGAACCAAAATAATCGATTTTCCCGCTTTGTTTTCAACTTAGATCAAAATTATTATTTTTTTCTATCGATAAATATTAGTCATTAATATTTTCTTAACACATTTATAAATTTTTCTACTAATTTTTTTTTCATTTTCTTCAAATCACAAATTATAATTAATATCAAAAAGTTCTTAAAGGATATTTTCAATGAGAATTTTAATTGTGATAAAATTGAGAATTTTGAAGTTCTTTTAATAAGATGGATTTTGGAATTTTTTTTTCTCGAAATCATATTTCTTAACTTAAATAAGTCACCTCTCCTAATATAAATTGAAAGAACATTATTCTTTCACACGAAAAACTACCATTTAACAATCTATTATAAAAACAAAATGATTTTACTAAAAATAAACTTTTTGACATTTATAAAAAAAATCGAGTGAAAAATAATAAAAGACAATATCAAATAACAGTAAAAGCTTTTTACAATAAAAGACAATCCTTAATATTATACGAAACAAAGTAAGAGATTACAGTTTAAAATTTAAGTTTTAGAGATATAAAGAATAACACTATTACTGCAATAACAATTCTGTGTCAAACAGTGTTCAAAACCTTAATTGCATATAATGAGATCAAAAACAAAAACTATGTACATTCCTAAAAAGGAAAGATGTTACATGAAAACCAGAAATCGAAGTTTGCTTCAGCTTATAGCGATATCTATCAAGTCTTCCATAGAAAGTCCAGCTGTCAACATAATATATTTTAAAAGTTTTCATTAGCGTATTCTGAAATGATAACAGTAAGATAGTATGAAAACTCAACAGAGAACAGAAATTCCACTTACGAAGTTGAAAACTTTGGATTAAAGAAGAAGGATGAGTTAAAGAAGATTCAGGTTTGGAGAAACTGAGTTCCTGATTCTTCCAAACACAATACTTATAAACAGCAAATGCAGACGCAAAGTTTCCAAAGGATATCCATAACATTCCAGTTTTCGACATTCTTGCTTCTGCTTCTAAATTTAGAGTCACAAAAAGAGTATTCTGTGCAGAGAAATTAAACCTAAGCATGTTCTACCTCTCCCAAAGCTTCCTTTTATATTAAGATAATTTTTAGAGATATTAAGATATACAGATAACACATATTAAGATATACAGATAACAGATATAAATATGTTTTTCCTTTAAAAATATGGTTATTTCGTTATTTAGTTGAGTATATAAAATAAAAAGATATTTTCTTGATGCTACTTTCAGGATGTAATGTCGTTTTTTAATATATTGTTACTATTTTTATCAAACTAAATTTATTTATAATATAATCATGATTTTTTCGGTTTTGAATATAAATTTATGATTTGAATAATTCAATTTGATTTGCTCAAAGTATTCCTAGCATTAATACGGGTGAGTTTTTAAATTATAAAATCTACTTCCTAGCATAAAGAATCAAATATATATTTATACTATTATACTAAAATTAAGTATTTCAATGGAATTAAAAATAAAATATTAATAACCTAAGAGAAAATAATTTTATCATCATGTGTTAATATAACAAAATTATCTTTAAGATAACAGTCACTTTTACTTATTTTTAGAAAAAGAATATTAGTAATGGTGGTTAAATATTGAATGTATATTGAAGCATATATCTTCTATATAGATTTAAAACATAATTAATGATAAAATATGAATATAAAATATAATATTTTAAATATATAATTAAGAGTAAAATATAAAAGTATAAATTATTAGCGAAAACACATGTATACTTTTTAAATTTTGTATTCTCTATTGGGTTTTATGTGTGCACTCTTTTATTTCATGGTAATAAAAAAAATATTTTTATTATTAAATGTATAAAAAAAGGTATAAAAATAGAAAGTAAATATAAAATGAACAATTTTATTACAAATTAGTAGTTTTTTAAAAGTAGTTATTAAATTTTAAAAACCAATTTCAAAATCAAAATGATTTATATTCTTAGAGATAAAATTTGTAGTGCAATGCGTACACCAAAATGGCGGTTAGAAATAGTTAAAAAAAATTAAATCCTTATAATGGTAGATTATATATTAAATTATTTAGGGTTAAATATGTTTTTAGTCCCTGAACTATCAGGCGATTTTGTTTTTAGTCCCTGCTCAGAACTTTGATGGTTTT